AGAAATTAAAGAAAGCCTAAATAGTGGAGAATTGCTATGTTTAGGGGTTGGAAGACTTAATATTTTTAATACGGCAGTTTTTCCAAACTGATTTATAGATATGTCACAATTCCAATCAGAATCTCAATAGGCTTTTTGTAGAATTTAAAAAGCTGGTTCTAAAATTTACAGAGAAAATCCAATGTATAGGGTAGTAAAACCTTTTTGAAAAACAACAAAGTTAGAGAAGTCACACTATCTGATTTCAGGACTTCACCACAAAGCTGCTATATAAGCAAGACACTGTGGTACTGGTAAATGGATAGGCATATATTTAGATCAATGGGACAAAAGAGAAAATCCAGAAATAGATGCACAAATCCATAGTCAATTGATTTTCAGCAAAGAGGTCAAGATAATTCAAAAGAGAAAGTAATCTTTTCAATAAATGATGCTGAGACAATCAGATATTCACATGAAAAAAAGTGAACCTTGATTCATACTTTTTATCCTGTGAAACAGTGGATCATAGACCTAAATGTAAAGCCTAAAACTGCAAAACATTTAAAAGAAAACAAAGGAGAAAATATTTGTGACCTGGGGTTGGGCAGTGGTTTCTTAGCTAGAACACAAACAACATGAGCTATAAAAGGAAAAAAAAAGGCTGTTTTACTACGGGTTTGCCACTAGAACGCAGGTGTCGTGAAAACCACCGATAAATCTAAGCCAAAATGGGAAAGGAAAAGACTCATATCAACATCATCTTCATTGGACACGTAGATTCCAGCAAGTTTACCGCTACTGGTCATCTGAGCTACAAATGTGGTGGGATCGACAAAAGAAGCATTGAAAAATTTGAGAAGGAGGCTCCTGTGATGGGAAAGTTCTCCTTCAGTATGCCTAGGTCTTGAGTAAACTGAACGCTGAACATGAGTGTGGTATCACCATCGATACATCCCTGTGGAAATTAGAGACCAGCAAGTATTATTGATTCCCCAGGACACAGAGACTTTATCAAAAATATGATTACAGGCACGTCTCAGGCTGACTGTGCTGTCCTGATCGTTGCTGCTGGTGTTGTGAATGTGAAGCAGGTGTCTCCAGGAAGGAGCAGACCCATAAGCATGCCCTTCTGGCTTACACGCTGGGTGTGAAATAACTAGTGGTTGCTGTTAACAAAATGGGTTCCACTGAGCTGCCTTACAACCAGAAGAGATACGAGGAAAACGTTAAGGAAGGCAGCGCCTACATTAAGAAAATTGGCTACAACCCTGACACAGTAGCATTGTGCCAATTACTGGCTGGAATGGTGACAACATACTGAAGCCAGGTGCTAACATGCCTTGGTTCAAGGGATGGAAAGTCACCTGTAAAGATGGCAGTGCCAGTGGAACCACGCTGCTTGAAGCTCTGGATTACATCCTGCCACCAGCACATCCAACTGACAAGACCTTGCGTCTGTCCCTCCAGGATGTCTACAAAATTGGTGGTATTGGCACTGTCCCTGCGGGCTGAGTGGAGACTGCTGTTCTCAAACCCAGCATGGGGGTCACCTTTGCTCCAGTCAACACAGCAACTGAAGTAAAGTCAGTTGACATGCATGATGCAGCTTTAAGTGAAGTTCTTCCTGGGGACAATGTGGGCTTCATTGTCAAGAATATGTCTGTCAAGGATGTTCATTGTGTCAGTGTCGCTGGTGACAGCAAAAATGACCCTCCAGTGGAAGCAGCTGGCTTCACAGCTCAGTGCCAGATATGCACCTGTGCTGGATTGTCACACAACTCACCTTGCTTGCAAATTTGCTGAGCTGAAATTGATTGTCGTTCTGGGGAAAAGCTGGAAGATGGCCCCAAATTCTTGAAATCTGGTGATACTATCATCATTGATGTGGTTCCTGGCAAGCCCATGTGTGTTGAGAGCTTCTCTGACTATCCTCCTCTGGGCTGTTTTGCTGTTCATGACAGGAGAGTGACAGTTGGTATGGGTGTCATCAAAGCAGTGGACAAGAAGGCAGCTGGAGCTGGCAAGGTCACCAAGTCTGCCCAGAAAGCTCGGAATTATGAGTATTATCCCCAATACCTGCCACCCAGTCTTTTTTTTTTTTTTAAAGATTTTATTGGAGAATTGGGGGAGGGGAACAGACAAGTTGCTGTCCTTTTTGTTCTTTAGTTGTGGAGGATGTTGCTTCACTGGCCCATGTTGGTATTATCATTGCTGTTCCCTCCCCCAATTCCCCAATAAAATCTTAAATAAAATAAAATAAATCGTTTTTAATGGAAACAACGTGACCAAAAATCTGTCACAGAATTTTAAGACTCATTAAAACAAAGTTTAATGACAAAAAAAAGAAGTGATAAATGACATCATCAAAATAAAATTTCTGTCCTTCAAAAAACTTTGAGGGCCGGCCAAGTGGCTCAGTTGGTTAAGAACTTGCTCAAGAGTACGAGCTCTGAGCAACAGGATCGCCGGTTCGATTCCTACATGGGCCAGTGAGCTGCGCCCAAGCTGAGCTGCCAAAAGGTGGCAGGATGGCTCAGCTGGTAGAGCACATGCTCCTAACAAGATTGCCTGTTCGAGATGGTGGGCTATGCCTGCCTGCAACTAAGACTGAACTCAGCACCTTGAGATGAGCTGCCGCCTGGATGGCTCAGTGGATAGAGTGTGCGCTCTTAACAACGAGGCTGCTGGTTTGACTCCCACATGGATGGTGGCTACGCCCACCTGCAGCTAATTGAACACAGCACCTTGAGCTGAGCGGCGCGACTGGACTTGGAGCTGAGCTTGCTGGACCCTCCACAACTAAGATTGAAGGACAATAACTTGGCTGTTCCCCTTCTCCAATTCCCCAACACTGTTCCCCTCCCCCAATTCCCCAATAAAAATCTTAAAAAAAAAAAACTTTGAAAGAAAATGACAGAGCAGCCATAGACTGTGAGAAAATACTTGAAAAACATATTAACCGGGGGCTTGTATCCAGAATATACAAAGAATCCTGAGAACTTCAATAAATAAGAAAACAACCCAGTAAGAAATGAAGTGAAACTATTCTGTATGGTATTATAATGGTGAATACATGTCATTGTATATTTGTCAAAACCTGTACATTGTACAACACAAAGACTGAACTCGAAACTGTGGACTTTGGGTGATGATAGCTCAGTGTGGGTTCATCAGGTGTAACAAACATATCACTTCAGTGCAGGTATTTTGATAGTGGAGAAGGCTGTGCATGTGTGGGGGCAGAAGATATATGTACTTTCTGCCCAGTTTGTGAATCTAAAGTCTTTTTTTAAAAGGGCAAAATATTTGAACAGACTTCACCAGAGAATAAATACAGATGGCAAATAAGCACATGAAAAGATGCCCAGTGCCATAAGTTACTAGGGATATGCAAATTAAAATGCTACTACATGCCTACTAGAATGACTTAAACAGGAAAGCTGGCAATACCCAGGGTGTGGAACCTGTGGAACTCTCCTGCATATTTCTAGTGGGAATGCAGAATGACAAAGCCACGTAGAAAACAGGTTGGTGGTGGTTTTGTTTTTTTTGTTTTTTTATAAAGTTAAACACACATTTACAATATGACCCAGCAATTGCTCTCTTAGTTGTTTATCAAAGAGAAAGGAAAGCTTGTCCAGAAAAAAACTTGTACATAAATGTTTACAGCAGCAATATTTCTAATGGCCCCAAACTAGAAATAACCCAAAAGTCCATCAACTGGTAAATGGATAAATTTTAGTGTTTCCACATAATGCAGTATTATTCAGCAATAAAAAAACGACCCTACTGAGACAACATGGATGAATCTCTAGAGCATCATGCTGACAGTAGCCAGTCACAAAAGACTCAGTACTATTGGGTCGTTGGGAAAATCATGACATATTTTTCTATGTTTTTCAATGCAAAAATGCATCATGACTTTCCTGATGACCCAATATATGATTCCATGTATAGTATTACAGAAAAGGCAAAACTATAGATCAGGAATTGCTTGGGGCCAAGGCTAGGAGATTGACTGCAGAGGAGCCCAAGAGAACTTTTTGGGGTGATGGGAATGTTCTATATCTTAATTATTGTGGGACGTTACACAGTGTATATACATTTGCTAATGTGTACATTCCAAATCTTTGAACTGTACACTTCAAGTGAGTGAATTTTATTGTATTCAAGTGAAATAAAATTGTTTTTTTTAAAAAAAGACTCAGCATCGGAAAGACAAGAGTAGAAGAAATTCTGTTTTTCTGCTGTATGGTTAGTGCTTATCCTCATTATAAAGTTTTACCAAAAATTTCCCATTCTGTCTTCCAGGTGGTGGAAGTTCATAAGTAAATGTATACTGAGTAGCATTTCCCATTGAGCCAGATTGATTTGACAGCAAAGAATGGAAGTCAGTATGGGCCCAAAATTGACTCAGAAAAAGTGGCGAGAACCAGGGAACTTTCTCATCAATGGCACCGTTTTTTTGTTTGTTTGTTTTTGGCCAGTTAGAGTGGTTTGGGTTCTTGAATGCTGGGTTGACACACACACCTATATTTGTGAACATGTTATTAGCCAGTGGGGGGCAGGTGTGGGTCAGTTGTATGGGACTGCTCAGGGTGTTTGATATTCCTGGCCCCTGGGCACGAAATACCCACAGCACTTCAAGTCCGTGCAGTAACTAAAAGTTGTCAGATGCCTCAGGGGTGTGGGTAAAGGTGTAACCTGCTGGGCAGATAATGCAGTTCTGTGATGTTGGGTCAAGAATGCAGGAGTTGGAATCAGAAAACCTATGTTCAGATTTTGTTTCTGCCTTTTATTAGCTTTGCAGTGTTGACCGTAACTCAACTCCTTCGAGTCTGGGTTTCCTCCTCGGAGCAGTGAGGTGTTGGACTAGACGCCCTCTTTGTAATAGTTGTTGACTCCGTAGTGAAGTGCCGTACAGGGTCAGGATTCCCGTCACTGACTAAGGATCTGATGTATCTGACACTGCTGCAGAAAAACACGTGCTTATGTGGCTCAATTTTGTTGTGTTACAGGTTCAGCTTGTTGGTTTAGATGAAGAGAGTTCGGAGTTTATTTGCCGAAACACCTTTGACCACCCGTACCCCACCACAAAGCTCATGTGGATTCCTGACACAAAAGGTGTCTACCCAGATCTACTGGCAACAAGTGGTGACTATCTCCGAGTGTGGAGGGTAAGCAGGTGCTCAATTTGCAGCCAGACCAACGGCTTTCTCCCTGTCAGCTGTTATTAGCAGCGTGGAGGCACGGAGAACAGACTGGGGGTGGAGGCAGTGGGTACCATTGCAGCCCGGGAGAAACAAATGGTAGCATATCTGGAATGACCTTGTTTGGCTCAGCCAATTTCCGAGCGAACCCAGCCAAGATTCCTTGAAGTCCTGCTGCTGGCTACAGTCAGCCCTGGAAACTCAAGGCTCAGCTAACCTGATATAACCTTCTGTGGGGGTGGGGATACTTGAGGCTTCTTATTCTGTTTATTTTTGAGTAAATTAAGTAAAATACCAGGCCGCTGAGTCTAGTAAAGTACGTGTGTGGATTATGGAGCTTTGCTTCTCCTCTCAGCTGAGTTCATTGTCAGCGGCATCTCCTATAGCCAGGGGGTGTAGTGTCCGACCAGGCAGGGTACCGAGATTTCGGGTTGGGCAAGGTGAGAAGACGTCTCCTCTAGAGAAATTTGGAAAACTTAGCTGGGCCGAGGAGAAAGCTTGGACAGAATTAGCATTCAGGGAGTTCTCCGGGGTTTTATTACTCTTTATGAAAAAAAGGTTCTTCCCCCATGTCTTATATTTACTACGGTATTTTCTAAATGGGGCTTTAAAGATTTCTTGTGCAGACTGGTTGATTTTTTTAAATTGTTCTTTTAGGTTGGCGAAACAGAGACCAGGCTGGAATGTTTGCTAAACAATAACAAGAACTCAGATTTCTGTGCTCCTCTGACCTCCTTTGACTGGAATGAAGTGGATCCTTATCTTTTGGGTAAGGGAGTGAGGGAGTGCGGATTTCAGAGTGAGGAAGCACAGATACAGTTTTCAGATATGACACTGGGCCAGTTTTTAACCAGCGTCCTAAGGTGGGAAAGAGACTAAATGTGGAATGTGGCTATTAATTCCTCATATGGAGTCGAGCTTCCCATCTGTTTATATCTTGTCTCTTCAGTCAGAGTCTAAGGCCCTAGGGTAAGGATTGAACACTTAACTCTCTCTGGCTCTGCTGGTACCCTCCCTATACTAGAAGGTGTTTGTGGCTTGTAATCTGGGCTGAACAGGCACCTCACGCCTGTCAGCCACTGACTTGCACTGGTTGTTTCCAGGTACTTCCAGCATTGATACGACTTGTACCATCTGGGGGCTGGAGACAGGGCAGGTGCTGGGTCGAGTGAACCTTGTGTCTGGCCATGTGAAAACCCAACTGATCGCCCATGACAAAGAGGTAACGATGCTTTTCTTCTTCTGCTTTCCTCAGCTGCTTTCTGTGCCTTCAGTGTGTGGGTCAAACTGTCCTCTCACTGTTTTGCAAATGGTGTGGGAATCACAATGCCGACATCGTGTCTAAAATGTGTCAGAACAGTGGGAAACAGCACTGTTGCAAAAGAATGCTTTTTGGGGGGCTGATATAAACAACTTATTCTACAGTCTGTCGTTTTTCTTTTTGTGCTGTTTTTTAACAATGAACTCTCTTACAGACAAACTTGGACCTGATGTGATTAAAAATTAATCTTAGAATAACATTTATCTTGAAATACATATATTTGCTTTTTGGCGGGGAGGGGTGGTGGGAGGGCGGAGGGAAATTTTCTGGCAGACGAACCTTAATTCATCAGTTTTTCTCTACACTTGTTTTATGAAATTCTAGTCTGTTCACTTAAGACTTATACTTTTAAAATTTAAAACTATTTGGAATTGAATGTGGTTTATCTTGATGGTGATATTTCTCCTGTGTTTATCACAAAAGCCGCAGGGAGCTATTTGTGAATTTTTTTTTTTTTTAAGATTTTTTAAATTGGGAAATTGGGGGATGGGAACAACGCTGGGGAATTAGGGGACGGGGAACAGACAAGTTGCTGTCCTTTTGTTCTTCAGTCTAGTTGTGGAGGA